GTAAAAGCCTACATTACGCATAGTCGAAATTAAGAAAATTGCGACCAGAAAATTATTTGATGTGTATTCGTGATATTTATAAATGACTGAGGAATTTGATTTAAATCATATCAAAGACTGAGTACATTGAGATGAAATACTACATTTAGTAAGAAATTATAAGCCAAATAAAATAAAAACATCTGCCCTGAAGATAAGGATAGTGCTGACTGATCAACTTCCAGTTCATTGCGCGCCGCGTCGTCCCCCCCCTCCACCGCAGAGCAGCATGAAATTGATAAACTTTTTTCGGAATGATTAGAGAATCAAAGGATATGCCTTTATCCCATTTTTTGCAGCAATTCCACTTTTTGTTTGATGGACATCGAAACATGCTTTCGCTTTGTAGATCCTTTGGTAGCTCCAGAATCGGAAATTCTTTTTGACATACTAATCGAAAGTTCAAACTTACTTTTATAAAATTGCTCTAACAGTCTGCAAAAAATAATAAGCTGGATCCAATTAGAATATTAAGGAACAACGCAATCTGCAACATTAACTGAATTAGATAATTTTAGCTGAGCTTTTACCGTCCATTATACATTAAACGCGTATGCGTAAACCTATCATACGCATGCGCAGAAAGTTTGTAGCTTTGAGGTCCGGATTATAGATAATTCCGGATTATGGACGTCTGGATTAAATACTTTTGACTGTATATATATATATACGAGGGCCATCCAGGAAGTAGATTACGTTTCCGTCTGTGTCCGCTAGGGGCGGGGCTAGCGCGGCCATCTTGGGGTCAGAGCGTTGCGCAGCTCAGTCTGCATCTAGCCGTGCGTCAGTGGGTCATAAGATTTCAAAATGGCCGAACCAATGTTCACGACGAAGATCGAAGTGGGAGACCCAGCATAGTGACCGCCGAACTTCTCGAAAAAGTCGATGCTAAAGTCCGTGAAAATCGAAATTTCACAATAACGGAACTTTCTTTGAGTTTTCCACAAATTTCGCGAAGTTTGTTGCACGAAATCATCAGCGAAAAGCTTGGTTACCACAAGTTTTGTGCAAGATGGATTCCAAAAATCTTGACAGAGGACCACAAAAATCAGCGAATGGCTGCAGCGTTGAACTTTTTGGACGCTTACCATAAGGATGGTGACTCTTTACTCGATCGCATCGTTACTGGTGACGAAACATGGGTGAAACATGTGAACTGTGAAACGAAATTGCAATCAATGCAGTGGGGGCACACAAGTTCTCCCCAAAAACCCAAGAAATGCATGCAAACAATGTCGGCAAGGAAGATGATGGCGACTGTTTTTTGGGGCAGAAAAGGTGTAATTTTGGTGGACTTCCTGGAAAGAGGCACTACAATAAACTCTCAAAGGTATTGCCAAACTCTCCAAAAACTCAGAAGAGCAATTCAAAACAAGCGCAGAGGAATGTTGAGCTCTAGATCTTGTTGATTCACGACAACGCCCGGCCCCACACGGCAAATGTCACTCGTAAAGTTCTTGAATCTTTTAAGTGGGAGTTGTTTCCTCATCCGCCGTACAGTCCCCGACTGGCACCGAGCGACTTCCACCTATTCCCAGCAATGAAGAAGTGGCTGGCTATGCAGCGTTTTGATGACGACGCACAGCTGCAAGAAGAGGTAACGAAGTGGTTGAAGGCGCAGGCGGCCGAATTTTTCGACGAAGGAATTTCCAAGCTCGTACATCGCTACGATAAATGCCTTAATTTGTATGGTGACTATGTAGAAAAGTAGTATTTGAGTGTGGCTTTCATCTGTATATAATAAAATTTGTTTCCTATACTTTGTTTATTTTTTTATTCCAAAACGTAATCTACTTTCTGGATAGCCCTCGTATATATATATATATGAGGAAGTCGGTGTCGTCGGAGTCGGTCATTTAGGTCCTTATTAATAAAAGAATTTCTTTTACCAAGCAAAAGTCGATATTAACTCATTAACACTCAGTGGTATCAAAATCGTAAAAAACAACCTTATATTTAGCGTAGGTATAATGAAACACTCAATCGATTTCGAGGGCCGCTAAGGTCCCTCCTCATCAGAGAAAGAAATACATAGAAAGAAGAAAAATAGGAAAGGAGTCACAGAAACACTTAGTGCTTATCAGCACTGCACGTGGTTATAACTAGATTTTTAATCATAGTTGCACTGCCGCCTACTTTTATGAGCCAGGCTGTCTGATCAAGCATAAAGAAATATTAGCAAGTTAAAATAGAGAGCGAGGGGCAAATGCACATTACGCTCAAAATCTGAACTTCAAATAATGGAAAGCAACCACTGAACGGATTTTTATACCCTCTGGTAGTACCAAGCGCGAGGAGGTAACGCCATCTATCGGCAAAAATATTGAATTAAGATAGTAGAATTTTAAAGGCATTAGGAAGGACTGGATTGGACTTCAAATCATTAACTAAACTTTCTAAATCTTTGTGAATGTGAAAAGCCTCAAGAAAATCCATTCGCCTATGGAAGAAGCCTTTTGGATGATTTTTGCAGACCCAAAATCAAATTGCAGTTTGCGATTGACCGTTGGATTTTCTCCCGTGATTATTGATAAAGCCGTCAAAAAATTTTCAGATTCCCAAAGAAGACATTCCACTGTTAGAATAATATTAATGACCTTGTCGTGCTTCCATTTTAGCCTCTGTTAGCTATAAAATTGCACGGATTCTCCAGAAATTCAATTTCAGTCGGTTTCTCCCCTATTAATAAAATTCACCCTTCGATTCTAAAAGATTGCGTTTCTGTCTTGAATTCTTGGGGAATTTATAGTATATCATGTCAGTGTGGTTTAAGATATTGGCCAAACAAAAAGAGTGTTGAAGTTTCGTATCAAGGAACATGATCTTATGTCAAAAAAGGCGAAATACAATTCTTCAATAGCGTATCATAGCTGGACTTTTAACCATAATTTTGAATTTTGGGTCTGCAAAATCATCCAAAGGCTTCTTCCATAGGCGAATTGGATTTTCTTGAGGCTTTTCACATTCACAAAGATTTAGAAAGTTTAGTTATGATTTGAAGTCCAATCCAGTCCTTCCTAATGCCTTAAATTCTACTATCTTAATTCAATTTTTTTGCCGATAGACGGCGTTACCTCCTCGCGCTTGGTACTACCAGAGGTATAAAAATCCGTTCAGTGGTTGCTTTCCATTATTTGAAGTCAGATTTTTGAGCGTAATTGCATTTGCCCCTCGCTCCCTATTTTTAACTTCGCTAATATTTCTTTATGCTTGATCAGACAGCCTGGCTCAGTAAAAGTAGGCGGCCATGCACTCTGATTAAAAATCTAGTTATAACCACGTGCAGTGCTGATAAAGCACTACGTGTTTCTGTGACTCCTTCTCCTATTTTCTCTTTCTATGTATTTCTTTCTCCTGATGAGGAGGGACCTTTAGCTGCCCTCGAAATCGATTGAGTGTTTCATTATACCTACGCTAAATATAAGGTTGTTTTTTACGATTTTGATTGTCACATTAGCGTGTTTCTCTTCTAGTCTACTCAGTGGTATATTTTCAAACAGATACAGTAAATGGTAATAAAGTGTTTTCAAGTGACTTCCAGTGCATTCCAAAATAATGAAACTGAAGTCAGGGTAAGCGAAAACAATCAAGAGTTTAAATTTCATATGTCTTCCTTGACTCCTGCAATTGTTATTTAGCAGTGGGAAATTAAAAGTGATTCAAGTTTTGTAATGTGTTTTTTCCTATTATTCCTCTTCCTATTTATTGACAAAATGGTAAAGTGATATAGGTAAATGAAGTTTTATTTGATTATGTTTTATCCTTATAGATGTAGCTATAACCATGATGTGTTCTTTTGTTTAAAAAAAGTTTAGTTCTTAGAAATAAGCACTCAAATGTTAATGTTCTATAAATACTGGACATTTAGGTGATTTGTTTTTCTACTGCAAGCCATAGGATACTACTTTTTTGTTCTTCAGATTGAAAATATGAATAGGAAAATATTCACCAATGTACAAATTGCAGCTAAATACTTGTTTTTTAAGGAAATCTATCATTCTCTAAAACAGTTTATAAAGCTAAGCGAATATGCTTTAATTACAAATTCTGAGCAATATGCAGTAATAGTGGATACTGTTTTACATTTTTATTGTATTGTAGAAAAGGAAAATCTGAGAGTCATGCTTTAGGATCACTGAAAAAAAAAGTAATGAATATAGTATCCATCATAAAAAATCCATCACACCATATAATGTTTTTTGACAATTTTTTTTTCACTATTCATTTTTTATTGTATAATCTTCAAGAAAAAGATTTTCAAGCTACTGAGACTATATGTGACAAATGAACTGAAAATTGAACTATACGATCTTCCAGTGAGTCAGGTAAAATGCTGTGAGACTCATACAATTATTTATTTGATGAAAGGAATGAAATAATGATAGTTAGATGAAGGGATAACTAGAGCATGGCAGTTGCAACTGATTTTGATAAAACTGAATGCATTTCAAAACTGCAAAGCGGTCTAGTGAGAAGGAGGAAGAAGAAGTTTTGTTCTTCTGGTCCATTTGAGATCAAAAACTATAAAGAGATTTTATCCAATTTTGTTAAAGACTTTAAAATTCATATAAAAACAAAACCTCGAATCTCAAATGTACCAGAATTTTCCCTCAGGATTCACACTTTGGGAGCCAATGATTTAAACACAGCTTAACAGCTGATGTCTACTTAACTCTATTCTTTCTTCGGTAACAAGTTAAAATTACAAAATGATTTGAAATCAAGAATATCAAATAAAAGATTCAATATGCAAATTACACTATTTTAAAGCAATTCTAAATATTAACACTAGATATAGTTTTTAACATGATAAAATTGCTCTTAAAATGAAAAAGATTTTTTCCAAAAGATCATTATTAAATAAAGGAAAAGCATGATGCTGAATAATAATAACAATTATAATAATAAATATTTATTCTGAAAACACAAATGGCGTAAAATGGCACTAATGATAAACTCACCACAGGTAAACTATCATACAAAATTTTTGGCAGTGATTCACCCAGTAACCAAGTGTCATGGTCCCAGCGAGCTCCATCAAGAAATAATCCACGTACATAAACACCTAAAATTAATTTAAATTACATCATTTAAAAATTCACTGACCTTTTACATAAAATTTTGCTTAAAAATTACAAAATGATTTGAAATCAAGAATATCAAACAAAAGATTCAATATGCAAATTACACTATTTTAAAGCACTTCTAAATATTAACACTAGATATAGTTTTTAACATGATAAAATTAACACTTGTGGCAGATAAGGTACCTTGCAATACTGTAAAATATGTTGATTAATTAGTATTGTAATAAAAATACCATAGTTATTATGAAAAACACAAGAATACCATAATTATTATGAAAAACACAAGAAACACTTGGCAGTTTATACATCTTGTTTCCACTGATACATGTTATTGAGTACAAAAGCAGCATATCAAACTTTCTCTGAGCCTTAAAACTGTAAGCTCGGTTAATGTTTTCTAATTCATAAAAAAGAAGAGAAAAATAAATTAATTTTACCAAATTTAGCATAAAGTTTAACAAATAATTACTTAAACATTCATATATATTTTTACACATTATCCTGAAGTACCACATTTATTTGAAAACATTCTCCTTGAGAAAAGGTTGGTAGAGATGACAGTCTGAAAGAAAGCATGCCTTGAAAACTGTTTAAGAAAAACTGATTTATATTTACATAACACTGGAAAAACCATTAAAATTCCATATAGTCAGCCAGGGATTTGAACCAAGCTTAGGCTGTCAGTATTCGGGAGTTTTATCCGCTTGATTACAGATGGGCATTTTTTAAAAGGTGAATATAAAAGCAAATTGCTCATTTTTGATCTATTTGCAACATGAAGATATTTTAAATTAATTAATTATAATTAATAATAGTAATCACCTTTAAATGAATTCATTAAAATTTTTCCCATAAAAATGAAATATTAATGATATTTATAAATACACTTGTGCTAGAAAAATAAGCAACAAATGCTCAAAGAAAATATATGAATGTAAAAACAAGAATTAAAACACACAATTACATATGAGGTAGAGGTTGCACTGCTGAATGCAAATAGGTGTTACTGCAGGACTCTGTTTTATGCTCATTAGCATTAAACATAATCCTGCAGTCACACCATAATGTTTTAAAATGATGCTTGTGGACCTATGCGTCATTTCACAAGCAGGTTTAGTTTCACATAATCCAAGACAGCTAAAGTCAAAAGCACGAGCCAAAGACACCATTTTCATGAAATGAGTTGGAGCACTATCAGGATGTTGCAAGCTGGTGGAAGACAATTTTCTGTTGTAAAAGGGCTGAATGTGTATTGTAGCGTCATCAACAGAGTGTGAATCATTATCAAAGGGACTGACATAGTAGAAACCCTTCTAGAAACATAGATCTTCTAGAAACATTAACAGCTCAACAGCTGGCATCGCACCTTTCTGCTGCTGTAGGATGGTCCATATCTCACTAAACTGTATTGCATTGACTTCATGAAGGTGGACTGGACATAGGATGACCAGTGGTTTGTGTTCCTTTATCTCCATCACGTGTCAAAGTGCAGTTGAACTGGGCCCCTGAACATCACAGTTAAACACCAGACCAATAGAGCTACGTACTCTTTATGGATGAGTCTTGATTTAACATCCAGAACAATTCTCAAAGGGCAATGATATGGCAAGAGCCAGGGAATGCTATGGGGTGCCAAACATCATCAAAAGAGACAATTGTGGAGGAGGAGGCTCAGTGGGCTGGGATAGCAATGAATGGCCGCACCAACCTCTATGTGATGATTCCTGGTGGTTGCATCACAACTGTCTGATATCGCAATGAATTTTACACCCTCTTGTGTGTTCTTTTATTTCTGCAATGGATACCAATGCAATATTTATGAATGATAGCACTCACCTGCACAGAGCTGGAGTGGCGCAGAATTATCTAGAGAGTGAAACCATTTTACATTTTCTGTGGCCTGCTAGATCACTGGGCCTGAATTCGTAAGAGCATGTGTGAGACATGTTAGAATATTTGATAGCAGCTTGCAATATGCTGCCAGGCACCCTCCACGGGCTCTGACATGTGTTACTAAAGGAATGGATGCTACTGTCACAACAAGTGATCAACGATGCTATTGCCAGCTTACCTTGCCATTATCAAGCATGAATTTCAGCTAATAGGTATCATACCCATTATTAATGTGATGCTTCCATAGCACATTTTTTTGACCCATTTGGTCTTTTGTGAAATGATGGTCTAATATATGTGTTTTTTGTATGTCTTTGCTAGTTGCTTTAGAGTGGCCTAGTACTGCCACACCAACCTTCTGGATTAATTTCATGCACATTCACTAAATAGCTTTTGTTTTATTATGTGTTTTGCCTTTGTTGCTTATATTTTGAGCGGGAGTGTAGATAAATAGTTTTTTTTCATTCACTGAGAATGTAACAAGATAAATGTAAGAATTTAATACCATCAGTTGGAGCTGAATGATAAAGCTTATCTTCCAGTATCTCATAATCAAAAACAAGAAGATCTACAGGAATAGTGTACTTCCTAGCAAAATCTTGTTGACTTCCTGTGAGGAAAGCTTGAGTGAAATAAAATCCTGAAATCCAGAAGACATGTGGTGGACCCACAGCATACCAATCCTTGAAAAATTAATACACAAAATGTTAACCTACTATTCTAATTCATATAATCATTAAAGTTTGCATTACTAAAATTACTAAAATTTCAGCTAACAGCTCCAAGATTCCCCAGAATCAAACCTGAATTAAATTATTTTATATAAAAATAAATTAAGCATATAGTATGTATTAGTTAAATTTAAAAAATAAATTTCATTGATATTTAATAGCCCATTTTACAAATGACCAGTATCAAGCCTTAAATCTTTAAAGCATAGAGATATACTCTACTTAAAAGACAAAGCATTATTAATGAATGCTTAACACTGCATAAGGTTATGTAACATGATTTAAGATAATAATACTTCAAGAAACTTTATAATGGTTATAAGATTAGCTTCCAGGCTCAATAGATATGCAACATTGATCTTTTCTTGCTTAGGCTAAACTCTTTCTTTTAGCATTTCATCAAAAGTCACCTTTCTAAAGAATTCTGAATATATATATCATTATCTCGTTTCCCCAAATGTCTGCATATGTTAAAGGTACTATAGAAACAAGCATTAGTATAAGTTACATAAACTTGAAGTCCCATCAGTACCTCAATGGGAAGCCTGGTTAGTCCTATTCTTGCTGACATCTAAATGAATTATTAGAAATCCAATTTATTTGAAATATTAATATTACGAGTTTGATTTCAGTATATGGGCAATACTATTGCTCTATTTGATGATAATAAAAAAGATTTAAATAAAGTTCTTTCAGTAATGAATTTTATTGATTCTTCTATTCAGTTTACTTTAATTTAAAGTAAACTGTATAGAAGACATCCAGTTCCCTTCCATTCTTTAACATGCTGATCACATGGAATGCATCTGACTTCACTATTGTATATCATAAACCTTCATCTGTTTGCCTCCCATCGCACTTCAGATCCTGTCATTTTATTAAACAGAAATCAGCTTTGCTTTATTTTTTCGGCTTCCAGGCATTTCAAGTTTGCTTTTTCAAGTCAGATTTTGATCAAGAATTCAGCTATTTAAGAGCAGTCACAATTGACATAAGCTTGTATTATTCATCAAGTAGTTAAAAATTTTACCTTAACAAAATAAACTGCATTTTGTCATTTTTAGCAATTATAAGAATTTAATAGTCATTCTTTTCTTTCTATTAACTAGCTATAAAGTTGCAAGTATTTCCATGTTGTTTTTTCTCATACCAATAAAATTCATAGTCATAGTTTTAAGACTCCATTCCAGATATGAGTTCCTAGGGTATATACAGTTTGCCTTAAAAATATGGCTCATACTTATTGGCTAAGAGAAACTTGGAATTTCCCATTAAGCAGCATGAGATATATCTTAGGAAAAAAGGAAGACATAAATCCTCAATTGCCCAAATTGGTCAAAAATCACACTTTCCATTTTTTCTGTAGCCGAAATTATTCAAAAAACATCTTTTATTCATGAATTAGATTTTCTAGAAGTATTTCATATTCATAAAAGTCTTTCGGCTCTAGGTAATGATCCAAGTTTTAGTCAGTCTAAACTTCAGCTATTAAAGAAATTGTTTCACAGTTGTTTTCCCTTTTTGTCAATGAATGGAACCAATGGCTTTATTTCCTCTTCCTTAGCAAAAACTTTGTTTAATCTTTTGTCTATTTTCATGGTACGAGCACAAGCTTCCACTTTAATCATTTTCACTCTCACAGATGAAGAAGCAAGTTCTGTTTGATCTTCAAAACTACATTCTTGGAAAATTATGCAACTTATGCTAACTTTTGTTGCTATAATGTCCTTAACATTTGTTCTTCAGTGTGTTACTTTTATCAATATGTCTGCCTATGCTTCTATGCAGTATTCTGTTTCATATATAATGTTTTGTATCATTAAATATACATTAGAAACAGTAAATAATTTTGAAATAATCTATTATAGCTTACCAAAACTGAAAGGAAAGAAAATCCCCTCTTTAAAATTAAGTTTTTCAAAATTATATCATTTGTTAGCTACTTACATAGAAGCTAAACCTTACGAAAATTTCCATTAATGGAACAGGAAGATCTTTTGGCACAGAAATATGAGTACAATCAACTAAAAAATGCATTGATAAGTATAACCAGCATAGAAAATGGATAGATACACTTAAGTGTGACTCAACAAAACAGAAAAAAACTTTCAGAGGCTCAGTTACTTGCCTATCGAGATAATTATAGATATAAAATAATGCATTAGTAAACATTGTAATAGAAGGAATTTAAGAAAGTTTAGAATGTTAAATGCATATACTTACTAAAATAATAAAAAGCAGTGATTTTAATAGCAACTATTACTAGTGATTTCAGTCCCGAATAAAAAAGTAGCTGATTTTTTCCTTTCATAATTAGACATACACTGATTCACATAGCCACATTTACATGTTCATAACAAACCACATTTCGATCATTTATTTGAATAAAGCTTTTATTAGAGAAATATTTTCTTTAATATGAGGTCATTGATATATGACATTTCAGGTCACTTAACTACTTAAATAATTTAGTTAACAGGGGAAAATATGGAAAATATTATTTGAAATATTATTAATTTTACAGGAGAGTATTCCAATTTTAATTCTTCATGTTATAATGATAAATGCAGTTTAAATATAAAAATTTAAGTTTAAAATAAAGTTTGCACTCATACAGAGCATTTTAAATGAATTTTCTATAAACTGAATTAAAAAGAATTTAGATTTTAGAATTATTTAATAATTAAATAACCTTTCTAAATAATTTAATGCTCTGATGTAATCTAAGCAATCATGTTATACATCATGACAATAGACCTGATTATTCAAAACTAACCTAAATACTCACTGCTAGAGCTGACATCTAAATTTTATTTCCTTCCAACTACTTTATTATATGAAAGGTACTAAAATATTAAAATAATTAAGAATAACATGGAAGGAAATTTATCTTGTATTTAATACAAAACTTTAAATATGTGAGTTGATTAAAAAAGGCACTTGAATTTTGCTTTATTAAGTTACACAGTCAAAAATCTTTAATCCGGACGTCCATAATCTGGAACGATCTATAATCCAGGACCACAAAGCTACAAACTTTCTGAGCATGCGTCAACGCATAATGAGTTAATGCATGTGCATAATACCTTTATGCATGCACATATGCGTCTACGCATGCGCATAATACATTTACGCATGCGCATTTAATGTATAACGGACGGTATAAGCTAATCTAAAATTATCTATTTCAGTTAATGTTACAAATTGCGTTGTTCCTTAATCTTTTAATTGGATTCAGCTTATTATTTTTTGCAGACTGTTAGAGCAATTTTATAAAAGTAAGTTTGAACTTTCGATTAGTATGTCAAAAAGAATTTCCGATTCTGGAGCTACCAAAGGATCTACAAAGCGAAGTATGTTTCGATGTCCATCAAACAAAAAGGGATTGTGCTGCAAAAAATGATAAAGGCATATCCTTTGATTCCTAATCATTCCGAAATACGTTTCAATTTCACGCTGCTCTGCGGGGGGGGGGACGACGGGCGCCATGAACTGGAAGTTGATCTGTCAGCACTATCCTTATCTTCAGGGCAGATTGTTTTTATTTATTCGGCTTATAATTCCTTACTAAAATGTAGTATTTCATCTCGATGTTACCGTCTTTGATATGATTTAAATCAAATTCCTCGTCATAATAAATATCAGAATACACATCAAATATTTTCTGGGATGCAATTTTATAATTTCGACTATTCACAATGTATGTTTACGCATGCGCGCGTTGAAAGAAATGTTTATAAATAAACAAATAAATTAAGTTTTTTTTTGTAAATTTTGATATCCTTTAGATCATAATTGCTCTTATCATAATTACAGTTTCATATTTTTAATTTTATAATTTCTGCATGCCATCTTACCAGATTTAAATGATGATCTATAATCCGGAATCGCTGAAGTCCCGACGAGTCCTGATTAAAGACTTTTGCCTGTACAATATTTTAAAATATGAATGAAATAAAAACTAAAGATATTTGATTTAAATATTTTTATTTTAGTTTCCTTTAAAAATTCAATTAGATAATTAACATATATAACATATATGCATTTGCATTAAATAAGTTTTTCTTTTATTCAAACTGCTTTGTTTAAGTGCACAAAGTCTGTTTGGTATTGTGTTTGTTCCGAATTCAGATTTAATTTTTTATGCAAATTACACAGAATGGAATTGATAAAAATTTTTAACCTCTAAAAACTTCAGCCTTTGCAAAAAATCAGCAATATAACTACCAAGCGGCTTGAGAGAAGGATATGATTTACTCATCCACATTGCAGGGATTTTCCCCTGCAAAATGCTATTGACGACTTGCTCCAGTTCCGCAGACATTACCACTAAGCCCTGAAAGTTAACAATGATTTTAATAATAGGGGAAGGAACATTTTTTACTCAGAGAAATTCTCACAAACTATTTAATAACAGTAAACTGAAAAATAAAATACTTAAAAAAATGTCTGGTAAAAGCCAGTGGTAATGGATATTTAATAAATATTTGATCAATAAATGCGTTTTATTTTGTAAAAGAAGCCCTGGAGGAAAATCAGAAATTGAATATCCCCCAGCTGTTGCTTTGTTTAATATTAAAACAACCATCTTATCAAAATGACATATTTTTTTATGTGTGGCACATTCAAGATATAGAGATATTTTGGTATATAATTTACAAGACTATAAATAATGAAAATTAACAACTAACAAATAAAAAAACTAATAGCAGTTAATAAAAAGCTTTTAATGTGAAAAAAGTTCTATATTTTCCATCAGTAGCACATCCTCAAAAAGATATTGTCAACTGTGAGCAGTCACCATATGCCAATATTTTTTAAGTAGAGGTACAGTTCAACTTTCTACGATTTCAATTGTACAATTCTTCATTTTTTAGTTCCTTGAACAAAGTAAAGAATCTAAAACAAAGGAATCTCAAAAAAATCAGGTATCATATTTCAATAAAAGTATCCATTTTGACTGACTCTCATTTGATAATTTTGATGTTTTTGCATGGCATCTCTATGCATGGAGACAGATTGTAAAATGAATTTAAAATGGATTCAGAAGAGATTTTTTTGTGACGTCTGTACGGATCTCGCATAACTAAAAAATGAGCAGCCATAGAACATTCACGATTTGTATATGGGACTGTACATTTTAAATGATGAAATATATACAATTTGTTTATTTACATATACTGGTACTCAGAAACTAAGAAAATATTTATATTTTGGTTGACTATCTTTGGAGCTGATGGACAGATTTTAATCAAATGTGGTATGGCTGATATAATAAAAAAAACCATACCTTACAACAATCGTAATTAGGGATACATAATTTTCATATTTCTGAAAGAGATGTGAATATATGTGAAATTTATCAGTATTAATGATTAAATGAAAAATATTATCTATGAACAATTTTGAATGAAAATTGATGAAGAAAAGTTATATATAAAGTAATTTGTTCAATTTATATCATGCTTGGCATTCAACAACTCATTGCACATTATTCCCAGCCTCTGTCTTCCTCTTATATGCACCTAAAGTCTGCTTCCCTCATTTATATACCTATTTACTCAACCAATTCATTTATATCATAAACTGTGAGAAGTGCATTTTTTGTTTAGTTTTCTAAATACACAGTTTAATTTAGTAATTGTAAATTTTATCATTACTGGTTGTGAAGAAAGGAAATATTTGAAAGAAAGATGATTTGTACTTAAGTGATACATATCATTAACATTGCAGTGCTCATTTAAAAGGCAAGAAAAAGCGTTCTGTGACAAAACATAACACTAATGATGATCAGTTAAAGAACTGTAGTATATTTATATCAGCAATATATTTTATTTACATGAATTCTATAATCAAAAACAAACTGCTACATATACTATACACACTACTACATACTATACAAACTACTACATACTATATTACATATGCTTAGTAAATACATCAAAAATAATTGTTACAGAAATAAATTAGAAGGAATGAAAATTAGATGATAGATGGGGAAAGTTAACTTTTCCCCCTTTTTTTTTTCAAGTACTTTTTAACTGAAATCTAAAGGGTTTGTTGAAAAGTAAGAGTTGAATGTTCAGTGAAATACAAGAACTTCGTAACACCATTTGTAGCAAGAAGTTCTGTAACTAGTCATATGATACAGATATTGAAATCCCCTATTTAGAAGAAAAAAAAAAGTATCAGAGAACTCAGATTCAAAGAAAATTACATTGAAGGACTGAATTTCTAGCTGATGAATTTTTAGCATCTATTATAAATAATGCTTAAAAAAAGTAAGAAAGATAAATTATTTAGCATTGACAAATGATTATCAATGATAAATATAAATTATTTATAACTGACAATAAGCATGAATTAATTAAAATTATTAGAGAAAAACTGATGAAAATTTTTAAAGCTGAAGTTAAGAAATCAAAATGCAATGCCATAATTGTTTCTTACACACTTGATGTAACACATGTTGACCAATTTATAATCATATTATACAATGTGTTAGGTAACGATCAATGTGTGAAATATTTCTTTCACTTTTTACCAGTAAATTTGTATATTGGTGCATTACTGGAAGTTGTAACACTGGACCAGTTAAATTTGTTAGATGCAAACAGATGTCAAAATGACAATAATGTAGCTAACATATATAATCAATATAAAAGTGTGCAAGCCAAAATTAAACAAATAATGAAAGAGCACATTGTGTACCTTATGATGCGCATTCACTTAACTTAGAAATACCACTGCTCAACACCATCTGCAAGTTACATTGTATTCCAATAAGTAGAAAGAATTTTTTTTAGGTGTGTTTTCTTAGCTATTAGAAACATTCTGTAATCTAAATTTGTTTAAAACAAGAAATATGTCATCGCTAATTATTGAATATGTAATACTAGGTGGTTATATCAAGCAGATGCAACAAAGAAGCAATCAAAATACACCCAAAGAGGCGTTTTGTTCCTTTACACACACTACACGTTTTGAGAGAATTTGGGATAATGCCACTTTGGGGCTAAAAATATTTAAAAAAAGCATATCCTTATAATTTTTGATAGACAGTCTCGTGTGCCTGAGATAAATTTTTTTTCGTACAGTGTTGGCACTGCTCACTTTGAAATCATTGAGTATGTTAATTAAAAACTCATTAAAGTTTTACAAACAATGAAATGGATGATAAGACAAAGTCAAAATACATTAGTCAAAATTTGATGACTATAAGTACCACTGCTTTTCACAGTATGAGAAAAATACAAACATTAATGCATATTCTTCATTATTTAATTTCTTTAAATATAATACAGAGCAATAATATTTGGTGGCAACAATGTGAATGGCAAAGAACTTTAATTAATATGGAATTGTAACTAACACCGTTTTCAAAGACTACTGAACTTTCAGAATTATAATTTTAAATCTCATGATTTTACTATAGATAAAAATCATACAAAATTAACATTAGAAAATGAGATAAAAAAGAAACAAGTTATATCAATTCATCTTTCACATTTTTAAGCTCAGCTATAAAAAGTGTTTTGAGAGAAGGCAACAAATACAGGGCAAAAGGCAGTTCATTAAAGTTTATGTATTTAAACTCTGCATATATACTTATATGAATAATCAGAAAGATAATTTTAATTAATTTCAATGAAAATCAGTCAAATATTTAGAATTATTTTGTACCTTGATTGCTTTCCTAGCATTGATAAGCGAAGATCTTATGGTGGAAAGCAGTACATTGAATCTCCCCATTTCTTGCACTAAAACAGTATTCATACTTTGGTCATACATTGTAGGGTATCTTTGAATAGCAAGAACAAGATCAAAATTAGGAGGAAGTCTGGATAAAATATCAGAAGAAACATTTTCAACTACGCTTTCAGTTGATTGACCGTCACCTCCAGAAACACGAGCCTGAATGGGAAGAGGTTGAAATTTAGACAAATGTATCATATGATATGTTTAAAGAAAGTAGCTAAGCACAAATAAATGCTACTATAATAATAATATTTTACAAATATGATAATTTAATATTAATAAGATAGAATAAAACAATTGAATACTTATAGTACAGAAAGAATTAAGTTTAATACATTATAGCAGCAAAATATAATGCTAACATATTAAAGATATTTCATATTAACAACAGAATAAAAGTAAAAAACTTTCAACTAGTTTTAGAAAATATGTGCTAAACTATAAGCGATATGACAGGATTATATTCTAAAATTATGACAGATTATCTTAAATTAGTCATAAAACCTTATTTTCCAATTATTTTTAGGATATAGATATATATATATATACAGCTAAGTGAATGATGACTACTGTAGCAGGTGGAAACAGAAATTAATGTTCTTAGCCTATAATGTTATAATAAGCGCAAAATTATACATAAAATAACACAAAAACTGAATTTTTTTTTTTCACTTGGATCTTTAAGCTAATAACAGATTTCAATCCATTAAACACTACAAACACACATATATATAAAGTGATAAAAACGCATATAAGGATTATTTTGTGTTATCATTGTAAAATTCCCAAGATCAGTACATTAGATAAATAATAATAATAAAATATATAAAAACAAATACTCTTGTGTTTTGCATAATGACAAAACTCACCAAGCTACACACATTATAAATGCATAGCAATTTAATTTTACATAACAGACCAAAAACTTTGGCAGCACTCCCCTATAACATTTCTAACAGAATCTGTAAAAGAATGAATTCTGTACTGATATACACTCAAGAGCCAAAACATTATGACCACCTGTCAATAACGAGTTGGGCCACCTTTGGCGTGCAACACACTTCAACCTGCCTGGCATGATGCCACAGTCCTGATAATTCGTATACGATTGTACCAGAGTTGTGCACCGGTCACGCAATCCGAGATCTTGTGAATGGTGGTCTTTGACCCTAGAGCTGCTGTCCCTGAATCCCAATGTGTTATCGGATTGAGATCTGGTGAGTTAGACATTAACTGGAAATCAGAATCATTCCTGGAACCACTGCAACACATTTAGCCTTGTACATGGGGTTGTCCTGTTAGAACATTCCATTTCAGTTGGAAAAACAGGGCAGTAAGGGTGCAACTGGTCCACAAGATGTTCAGAACCCTTTAGCATTCATGGTCGCTCTACACAACACGGGTCCCACAGACGCCCAAGAGAAATCCCCCCGAGCATAATCCGCCCCACCGCCTGTTATGACCTCGGCTTGAGGGGCACTGTCGCCTGGAAGACGCGTTTCTGACACGGCCATCGCAGATGAATGACAAACTGTGATCATTGACCAGGCAACTCTCTCCCTGATCATGGACTAGTTTTGCGATGTCCGGCCCAGCGAGGCATGGCAATTACGCTTGTCAGCAAAAGACACAGTGGGACGTTTGCTGCGACCTCATATCCAGAGTGTGCTCCGATACGTTATACTTGGCCTTGCATTGTATCAGCTTCACTGAGCCACGTCTCGCTCCGGTTTGCTCCATGCGAGCAGTCTCCGAAGACTTTTCTTTGATAGTGTGTCTACTGCTGGTTCACCATCATCATCCACTTTCATACGTACTAACAACTGTAGATCGTGAAAAACCTAGTGTCAGTTTCGGAAATCTTTTCCAAGCCTTCGAGCCATTACAATCTGCCCTTATAGTGCTTAGTCTGAGCCTTTCCCATCACACACAGACGTAAGTTAAAAATGATTTCAGACGCTCCAGCCAGTTAAATACCACTTCCACCTGATCACGTGCTTTCACGCCATCAGTGTTTCATCGCAAATGTAGGGTAGTATAATGTTTTGGCTCTGATGTGTCTAGAATATATAATATTATAAATAATTGAACATCTTACAAATGTTGCAAATTCTAATACAATCCATTATCTTAACTACTGTGCAAATTTTTCCTATCTAAATATGATTTTAATATATCAGTTAGATACACTATTAAAATTAAAATCAATCGATTTTATATCTCAGCAGTCATTAAAAAAAAAAAAAAAAAAAAAAAAAAAAAGACGAGTAACCAATATCACACCAAAAATGTAATATATGGGATAAAATATGTAATTATAGCAGCTGATAAAGTTCTAAACTATCATTGGATTATACAAGTTAAATGTATCTTGAATTATATAAATATTATATTATTAAAAAATGATCTATATCTAAATATGTAAGCTATGTCAATATACAGTATTAATACAACTTTAAAAACTTAAATAAGAACATATAAAAATTTACCATTGATTGTATTATAAAATAAATTAAACTTATATATAAAATAAGTTTAAATGATTTAATCATTTTGCAGTTACAGACTGCTTAAAATTGAAAAATAATTAAGATCTTATGATTATAACAATGACAGCTCTTAGAAAAGACAATGTTTGTGAGATCAAGTGAGATTTTGAATAAAACTCTAATAATTTTGTTGAGTTATCAGATGCAAATCCTTCTTCTCCAAGGAGCTGATTGCTTTTTAAATTGGTAACCAGACAGGTACTTTTCGTAATTTAAATTTTAATTATTTTTTTCTTTCATTTGATTTAAAAGGTTAATAAAACATTTTATGCTTTATGCAATGACAAACCCTATGACTTATAAGTATGTAGAGTATGCATGTCCTGCAATATAAAAGTTATTCTTTTAAATTTTTTAACTTATTCAGCAATACAATTAAAATTTGAAAGATAAATTAAAGATCCTATATAATACTGAATGGCAATATTATAGGAACTAGTTACTTGTAAAGCAATTTGAAATTAAGATTAATTAGCCCCTTTGCATATGATTATTTTAGAAAAGTATAAGAAAGTATATTTTATTTCTTTTGATGTAAATGATAATCTCAAGTTTAACTGGTAGCAATATCATTCCAGAATTTATCTGAAAATTTCACCTCCGACTTGCATTAAATTAGTATTAAATTTCAAATCACTACATAAACTATTTTTTTTTGGGCTCTGATATGAACCCTATGCAGAAGAGTATAGATCTACAGAAATATTGCATATATTTAAAATATGCACTAAGTAAATAATAATAATATAATAAAACAGAATATTTGTTATTTCACAATCTGAGTAATCACAGAATCAGGAATAAACAAAATATGAGTTTAAAGTTAATTTACAACGATGTAATTACTTAAGGTTCTTAAATATCTTATGCCATAAATTTACTTCTTTTAAAATAACTACTTATTTCTAGTCATGAATAAAAATATTATAAGTGCCTAATCATGATAACTTCCTTTATCAATTACATATGCTTAATTTCTATACTCCATTAATATTATTTCTACTTCGTAGATTACTTCGAATTATAAAAATGTTTATTACAATTTTTAATTCCATTATTTCTTCAAACCCTTTAATAAAGCATAAATGTGTAACATTAAATAGGAATGCATTTTAGTATTTAATTTCAAACATTGCTGTTTGATTTAAAAATGCAGTCCAAAGCTTAAAATAAAAAGATGGAATATAATTAAATTTAATTATATTCCATCTTTTTATTTAAAGTCAGTGGCGTAAATAAGGGTATGCAAGGAATGCCGTCGCATAGGGGCCCCTTAAATGTCCTGCTGAACTACATTTACATGTTTAAACTTATAAGACGGATTCTATTACATATATAAAGAAGCTTTAATTCATTTTCCCTTGATGAGTTCGAAATTAGAATTTCAATAAAAGAAGATTAATTATTATTTTTATATTTTTTATCTTGTATTTTTTTTCCCTTTTGCTTTTTATTTTTATTTTTAGAATTTGTACTACTATAAATTCTTATTTTAATTTTGATATGTTTTGATTTTGTGTTAAACCCCTTTTACACGATTGTTAATATTAATATAGTTGAGGAATAGCCTTGATTTGACTCCAATTTACTTTTAACTTTAGAATCTTTAAGTATATGTAGATAATAGAATTCGTTTTCTTTTAAGTTTTTAAGGGCCCCTACCTATATGGTGCAGTGACGCAATTCTCTGTATGACGCAGATAGGAGGCCCTTGGAAGCACCTGAAACAGCTAAATTCAAGTGTTTGCAAAAGTTAAAATTCCAGCATTCGACTATGAAATAATAACTTCATGACCTACCCCAGTTTAGGGATAGCAGTGAGCGGAAAATAGGAAAAGTTTCTTTGTATTCCTTAGTCTCAAACCTGAAAATTATTAAAGGCGACCCCCTAAAGAAAAGGTTTCTCCTTTTGCAATCCCAAATCAAAAAGCGGTGGAAGTGGAAATTAATTGTAACTATTTATTATAAAGTACTTATTTTATGTATTAATTTGTTTCTGTATAATTCACATTATGATCGAATAATCAGTAGACATATTTTCTAAGTATAAATCAAAGAAGTAACTAGGCAGGATTCTGGTACTTTGGAATGAACTTTGCAAGTTAAGAGAAATCGTGGTATATTATTTGCAGTTCGTAATTTTCATAATATGTCATTCCGGTAGCGTTTAATTTTGTTCATATATTGAATCTCTTACTAGCTTTTCCATTAAACGCAAGTCCAAAAATCAGTCCTAATATTCAATTTGAAATTGAATTTATTAATGTGAATGATTCTTAGAATTTAATATAACATGTATTTCGTTGGTTCGCTATAAACGGCGTATCACTTTTCAAATTGTTGCCACCAAATAACCTCACCCTGTATTATTTTTAAAGAAATTAAATAAGGAAGAATCTGCATGTTTGAATGTATAGTTCTCACAATGTAAAAAACGATGGTACTTGCAACCTGTGCAGTCGCACCAAGAGGCAAGGTAAGGGACAGAAACATTTTGGATTTAGAAGCACGATTGACATTACAAAATGGCAAAGTTAAAGGCGGATCGATTTTTTTTTCCTCTGTTTTTTACACTAATAAGCTGGAGGGGGAGAATCATTCGTAAGTATTAATTGCTAACTCCAGAATACATGCTTTTCTTTCTTAAGGACACAAAATCATTGACGTAAGTTGAGCAGTTGTGGCATGAAAGGACTTTGCCCACCCCCATGTCGAAATGCCGTTCTAGTCCAGGAAACGCAAAGAATTTATGGCACCACATTTGGAAAGGAGAGATTTCCCGTTCGGCTTAGGGATCTTTGAATGAAT